CCTTTTCTTTTACTGCCCAGCTTTTGTTTAAAGAATAATGATTCAGAAAACGAAAGATCTTCCTGGTTTTTAAGTTCTTCCAAATTGGGGTCACCCGTTTCAGTACTTGAAAGCGTACTGGGGCAAGACGATGAAGAGGCACAAGGACTGGATTGCTCGTCAAACCCACATTCGGCAACTTTCTTAGGCGTTATTCTTGGTTTACAGCCGAGAACATCGTTGAGGTCATCAAAGTATGGGAAGGTTATGCGCTCGTTCCCGCTTTTGTTATTGTGATCCTTGACCCTTTTATAATCATCTCCCAAATTCTTAATCTTTGCTTTGCATTGCTGTGCAGTATGAATACAGGAAAGATTTTGCTCTGCAAGCAGCTGATTTAACTGCTTTGAGATACGTTCCCAAATAATGGAGGTTTGCCGCTTACTGATAGGAAAATAGTCCTTCCACACAGATATCAGTAAGCGTACTTCTGCATCTGTCCAGTTCGGTGACCTGACCTTGCTGTTGGATCCCTCGCTAATTCCACTCTTGCCTTCTTGGCTCATAACTTGGATTGCTGGGGATTGCACTCGCCAATCTTGCTGCCATGGAGGGAGAGCGTCTCGCTGAGCAGGCTGCCGAGTTGGAAAAATCAGCGGGCCGTGCGATGCAGACCACGAATGGAGACCCAAGTCAAATAAGTACTTTCTTAGCTCGAAACTCAGTCTTTTGCATTTGCAGTGACAAAATCAACAACCAACTGAAAAGCTACCCACCTTTGATTTGAAGAGTGGAAAATTAAAACTGAAATTATGAAATGGATGCACCATTACGTTTTGCATACAAAAGCTTATTCGCACGAAATGCAAATTATGTTAACCTCTTATCTGACAAGTTCATCAGTTGTTTAACCGCAGGCAAAATTGATTGGCCGAAATTAATTGACGACATACTTAAGCGACTTGGTTTGGTGGCTTAAATTTAATGGAACTTTCACTGAAGTTTGCCAACTCGCTTAACTTTAAGCAAGCCGGACAGCCAACTGTTTGCACGAGGATTCCGGTTGTCACTCGCTAAGCTACCTGAAAAATCGCTCGTGAAAACACGGCCATTGACGACTATTCGTCACTATTCGCCACTTTTCATGACTGTTCGCCACTATTTACACTATTCGAGACTATTCGCACTATTCGGGACTATTCGCTATTCGCTATTCGCGACTATTCGCTATTCGCCATTCGGGTTTTCGAGACACCCAAAGGCGTTCCAGCAACCCCTCTGTAAAGTTCGACCTTAACTCTCGCCATGGATCACGATTTCGCTCGAACTTACAGCGAGCTCTTCTCCACCGGGAATTCTTCTGGGTAAAACTTAAAAATAAGCCCTCGGATTCCTTGAGGTTCCAGACAGAAACTGTCGAGACTTCTTCTCATCTGACACGTCGCGACTCTTTGTCCTTCGGGACGCCATTTTGAACACGTTGCTCGCATAACGAAAACTACCCTTCTTGAGGTTGTACCTGGGCTTTCGAGTGCTTGGATGCTATGTCGAAAACGCATTCTAAGAGTCGCAAATAATCATCGTTCCTCAGGGAATTTACGCACCTATAGCAGCGCAACCCTGTTAAGCCAGCTTCCATGGAAAATTGCGAGCAAATTGCATCAAAAGGACGCTAAAATCGGGCTGAAATGCACTGTGAATTTCGTATTCGATTTCTGGTCCAGTTATCGAAATTTATGATGGAAAATAAAAAATAACACTATCAACAAACTACAGACTTACATCAGGAGGATAAGCTTCAAATTGAAGATCAAATTTCCATCTTCGGGAAATGTCTTCCTTTTTATTACTCCCAGCACTTATAACCACATAACTAGCACACAGGCCGGAATGTTAGTTTGGTCGTAACGTCATGAAGCTATTGTTAGCGTAAACGCCCAGGTGTTGGACACGGTTCACGTGACAGTATTTGACCAA